TTTAGGAATGGCGCGGATACGGTTAAGTTACCGCCAGTAGAAGAGCTCAGTTTCGAAACTAAACACGTGTGCGAGCAGTTCATCACTCACCACTTGGCGCGTTGTCAGGACGCTATCACTAAGGATATCAGGTAAAATTAATTACATATTACTTATCGCCTAAATAGGTCCATAGGTCTCTAATTCGCTGGCGCTTTACGGGCCTTTGTAGAGGAGGCCCATCCAAGGACTTCGAGATTTCTTCCCTATTCCAATAAGACTACCTGCAAGCGAGAAGCGCAAGACCGCATTCAGACTTCGTTTCTATTTATACTTATTATAAAGAGGAAATATTTGCATTTTTGTTTGTACTAAAAATTACTAAAAAACTACTACGTCAATTTAAAAAAAAAATCAGAAATAAGTAGTATAGACGAAGTCGCGAACAGTAAATAGTTAAGAATATTAGCGAAAAAGTTGTTGCCCAATAACAACCAGCATACAAATGTTATCGATGACGTTACGAAATATTTCGCAAATATTCGGAATAGGCCCTCTTTTCGAAGTATCAGTTGTGTTGCATTTAGTATGTTATTTAAAGTTGTCAATATACTAGATGGAGGATGCGCACACACCGCGGCGTGTTCCGCGGCTCGTGCTTGGTGAGCTGGCTGGTCAGCTCCGGCCTCGCCGCGGATCAGTTCGACGCGGTCACCTATGGCCGACACCTGCTCGACGGCAGGCTCATCTCGCATCTTAATAATACCTATCACTTCACTAATAGCCCCCTATTGTATAGATTTAACTAAATCGACTTCACACTTGGCCAGTACAGTCGGTCAGTAGCGCTGTCAATCAATGTCAATCAACTGGCACAGTGTAAACGCTAACTGACTGGCTTTCGCAACTCTACTAGCCAAGTGTGCTGTGCATATAAGATTTACTTGGAATGACTTGACTCATGTCACTATTACTTTGAAAAAAGAAAAACAATGGGCAATATGCATGCATTTTTCTTTTTTTTAATTTTCGGTTTGGCTTCATGTGCATATTGCCTATTGTAAATTCAAAAAAAAATTGTTATCTCTGTTTTTAAAGTAATAAGCGAGATGGCAACATTATTGTAATACGCGTCAAGATAACGGTAACTTCGCTAGCTTAGTACTTAGGACAATTATAACACAACGACTAAAGCAATGCTTATTCGGATCGAAAATTGGGCACATTATTAGGCACAAATATTTACAGAAAAAAATTATATTCTTTAAAAATATGTGTAGAGGTGTAGATTGGCAGAGTAAAAATTAAAAAAAAAGAAAATATTGTGACAAAAATGAAAAAAAATATACATATATTGAAGTGCTTTTAATGTTTATTTGTAAGTAAGGTGAGCGGTAAATGGAAATATATATTTAGAGTAAGTCTATTTTAGTAACGATGTTATAGTTCTTTAATTTTATATGATCTCCATGTTATGGTATGAAATATATTTCTGAGATTAGTATGCTCTCTTCTACTTTAGAATATTTCGACTTAATATTGTTCTTTACCTTTACCTCATTTTGTATCTTATTTGAATTGAACTTAGAACTAAACTTACAGACTTAACATACCGTGAAAGCATATATTACTTATATGTATTAAATTCCGCTTTTTTACTATCACATAATTTAAGTTTATGAAGTAAATCGATAGTTTTTATGTTTCATAGTTCTCGATCCTTCGATCTAAACAATACCAATACAAATTATATAATCTATGGAGATCTGTATTTTGCGTCTACTGTGAGAGTTAGGTAAAAATAACAAGGTAGTCCGAAAATTTATAACAAATTATCTTATCGACATTGACAAAATTTATATTTGTAAAGTGTTCCTACTGGACGTGACACAAGACATTAACAGATCACATACAATTTTTTGTTGTGACGCTACGAATACTTTATCGTAAAATTTCTTATTAACCCCCTGAACTCCGATTTTGAATTAAATTGTTCCTCATTTTTATTTTACATTCACATATGGGTGCGTAGTCTTGTGACCCAGAATAGAAAATAATATACATTATTTGAAAATTAAGACTTGACATGCTTCATGCTGAATTCTAGTCATATATTGAACAAAATGTATTTCTTACTTGTGGGAAGTGTTGACTGTTGTATCAAAATAAATGATTTTTTATTAATAATGAATTAAAATTATTTTAATATGGTTGTTTTAATAGTATGTATTGTTTGTTTAGTATTACAGTGTAACTTTAAGCACCCATTGAAAAGAGTCCTTTTTTCACGCGCCTTATAAGTGTTGAATTAGAATATTAAAAAAGAAAGAATGCCAATAAATCCTGTTATATTTTTAATAATATTAATTGAATTAATCGTTTTATAAAATTAAAATCGGCATTTCCTGTTTTTATAATGGTTTAATCTTGAAAGATTTTATTCAACCACATTGTTAAATATGTATGATTATTAAAATATGTCTATGAAGAAATATTTTATACTTATTTATGTATTTATTACATTTCTGTAATGATATTAGTTTTGTTTATTTTTTTAGTTTTTGTGATATCTGTGGCTGTTAAACATCATTGATAATGTAGTATAAGAAGCTTTAGATTGTGTAAAAAATCTATATATTGTATTCATATATCAAAAGAAATATAATGCAAATTATATTGCTGTTTTATTCATTTTATTGTACATGCTTAAAATTGTTGATTTTTTTTTAAATCACCAGACTTTCATTAACCCTGTTGTTATCCAATGCAACACAACTCCAAGAAATCCTAAGGTAACTTTAATGAGCAAAGGTTATAATGAAATTGATAAAACCAATATTTATATAACAATTTATTATTCATTATCTTGATCATCATTTTCGTCACCATCATCATCTTGTTCCTGTGCTTCCCACCATGTGAGCAAGCCTAGTCCTGGCTCATTGATGCCACCTATTATTCTGTATGGTGCTATTGTTTGAACAGGACATTCTGTCCCGGGGGGACCCGTTGGTAAACTCTCCTCAAATACTTCACTTGTAACCCTAAATCTTATTGATTCTCCTGAAAATAGAACACTCTGTTATGCACGGTCTTGACGGCCCCAATTGACTACACATATTGACATTTATTGTATTTATTTCCAGATCATCAATATATGTCCATACTTGTGTTACTGCGGTTAAAAATCACAGTAATATTAACATGTTCATATAAAAATAATTACTAGTACTAATCATGTCTATGGATAAATTAAATGCAATTTATAGATGTCACTAGCTGACTGATAATTGAATATGGTTTTTTTAAGACGGTATTCAAATCTAAGTATGAAAATCACCTGAATCCATAAATAAATCATGCTTTTCACCCTCCCCTTTTGGATATTCCCATACCCATGCTTGGTCTGTCTCGTCAAACCTTGAAGGATGCTGCAAAGCATTCACTGGTATTAAAATATCTTCAAAAAATCCTATTGTCACTGTAAAATGAATTAAAGAAAAAAATATTTTTTAAAGTATTAAGTAGTTTTTAAAGTAGTAAGTAAGTAAGCAAAGAAAATCAAAACCCTGATCACTCAAATTTATCAAATAAAATAAAAAGCTATTCGCTATTCCAACCTTTTTAATTATTACTTTATATTAAGAATACATACCATGCACTCCATCCCTACTACAACTTCTTATTTTCCCTATTAAGATTTCTTCCACAATAGGTCTGAACACAATATACCGAAACTTGACTTCAGTGTGTGATGACCCATCTCCAGGGAAAATATATGAATGTCCAATGTGAGTTATATCAAATAGCGCTATGCACAAACCTACATTAAGTACTACCTAAAATGCATGAAACATTTTATAACATAATAGATAGAGTACCTGCCTTCACATGTAATCTTGATAAGTTTTATTTAATATTTTCTCTTTGCAAACTCTGACGTACTTTTTTTTAATTCATATTACTCTGTTAATAAGTTAAAATAACAATATCACAACTTTAATCAAGTAAACACTAACCTTATTAGCAAGTTTCCTATTTAGCAATGTTGTTATTGATTCCGTTAAACTTTGATCAAAATGTTCAGGAGTAACTCTAATAACATCTTTCATTTCGGATAGCACAAACATTATGATAAATGGACATTTCTTAAAAGTAGGATGTGTGTTTTGTAGGTTCGCGGTTTTATTTTTAACTTTAACCAAATAAACTGACAAGTGATAAGAAAAGTGTGGTCCTATTTGACATATTATGTATGTCAAAGAATATGTTATGCGTCAGTTCTTTGATAAGTGTCGAAATAATCGATTTTTCTTCTTGGCAACACCTAACCAACTATCAAACGTCAACTTCAATATTCAATCAATCAATTTCTTATCAATTTTTCATATCCATTGTTAATAGAATAAAACGAATATTAAATAAAAGTGACCTAAACTGCGATTTAATTTAGAATCAATCTAACATAATAATGTCAGGTGATTAAGATTTAATTCAAATTGCGCCGGTTGTGCAGATTATCTTTTGATGGAGTTTATGAGTATCACACACTAGGCTAAAGCCTTGTGAAATAACATTTTTCAATATTTAATTATTTTCAAAGGTAGTAGAAGAGATAGATCTCGGTCCCCTTCACGAGACAGTACGAACAGACGCAGAGACAAACATCAGGAGTTAAATAAAGCTGATATGTCTAATGTATTGAATCAGATGATGATGACAAATATGTATTCTCAAGGTATGTTTTTATTTGATAATAAATTGTATACCAAATAAGATATTTATTTGTTTATGTTGGTCAATGACTATTGGGAATCATTGTAACATTTTTAATGCATTGATTTAAATCTGGTAAGTTACTGGAAAACATTCAAGTACTTAAAATGTTATATTTGTTATAGGTAACATGCTTTTGGGTGGAGGAATGTATGGAAATATGATAATGCCAAATGCCATTATGACTGGAGGAATAATGCAGCCAACTCCAATGGAAATAATGACTGGTACTGGTTTGGAAATGATTCCTCAGCCTCCAATGGACATATCAGTAATAGGAAATCAAGGTTTAGGAACAAGTGCAACACCAATAGATATGAATATGATGAATATGGGAAGTGTGATGGTGGACCCAGCTATGCTCCCTGTGTACTCAAATATGAATACAGAAGTGGCACAGGAGAAAAAAGAAATTGTCTTAAAACATTGTAAACTGACTCCCCCTGTACCTGGTACCCCTCAACCTCCGAAAAGAGAACGTCCTCATGGCTGCCGCACAATTTTTGTCGGTGGATTACCTGACAAAATACGTGAAAGTGTACTCAGAGAGATATTTGAACCATATGGTAGAATACAGATTTTGAGATTATCTAAGAAAAACTTTTGTCATATACGCTTTGATAGGGAAAGTTGTGTGGACGCAGCTATGGCAATTACAGGCTATAAAGTTAAATTGACAAACAAAGATAAGGACAAAGATGATAAAGATAGTGATCAAGATGATGAACATTCTCATGCAACTAATGGTTGGTTGCATGTCGACTATGCCTTGGTAAGTCTTATGTTATGGTTTTTTAATACCATGTAAGAAATCTTTAGTTAAAGTATTAGCTTGTGCTACCTCTCATCAGCCTGTCTTTTGACCATACAATATCTCTATATATTTCAATAGAAAAACATCAGATTTTACAATAAAATAGTAACAAACTCATATTCTACTGTTCCTATAGTATGTTTGTGTGTGAATCTTAGATTAATTATTATATCTGTCAATGTTTTTATTACTTCAGAATCATTCTAACATAAAATTAAAATTTTCTTGTTTTAATAATTTTAACAACTTTAGTTCTGTTTGTGAAAATTCAATACGGAGATGTTTCACATTGTTTTTGCTGTTTCTTTTAGAGTAGAGATGATCAGAATGAATATGAGAGAAGACAGAGACAAGCAGCTCGTGCGCAGCAAGCACAAATGCAACAACTCACATCACATCCAGAAGCTAATCGAGCAGTGAGTTATAAAAGATCACCATCACCTGTTAGGATTCAACCATTCACAAATGCAGCAATTGTCCAACTATCAGAGAAAATCAAGAGTGAGGAATACTTCTCTACTTCACTACCGGTATGTTGATATTTCACAAAAAACAAATGTAAAACGATCTTAAACAAATTAATTAGTCACATGAAACACATTTCTACACACACAATAACTTATGTTAGTTTGTTACTTTAAATGCATCTGAGAATATATTTTTTTATAATTATGTCGTAAAATGATTGTAGTTGTTCAATTCCTGGTGATTTTTTAAATATCTTAGTGACTTGAAGATTTTATGAATATAAATATAATAATTGGATATTTTTTGTTACAGACTCTCATAGCTTGGTTAGAACGAGGAGAATGTTCAAAGAAGTATTCAAATCAATTCTACACAATGATACAAGCAACCAATTCTCACATTCGTAGATTGTACAGCGAGAAAATACAATCTGAAGAGGAATTACAAGAATGTAAAGAGAGAACTAAGAGGAATATCCAGAATATTATTGATCAGCGTAAGTACATCACAAAATCTTAACATTATTTCGTTTCTCATTGTTTGAAAGGATGGAAAAGGTGTAGTATTTACAATATTTGCTGAAATTCCACATACTTAAGCCTTCTAAACTACTGGGAATTTTGGTATAGCAATATGTTAGTGAATTTATGGATGCTCTTGTCTCTCTTCTGGTCATATCGAGTTCCTCATTCGGGTAACGAGGCCAGCGGTCATCGTGTTTACGTAAATATTTCAATCTGACACAGCTACTGGAATGAAAAGTGTAAGTTATGTGTTTTGATAAATTTTAAATTGAATTTCTGATAAAGTTTTGTAACCTATTTTTTCATAATGTTCGTAGTTTATTACCACGATTGGGTTTTTGTAGCACCCGATATTTCGGCACAGTTGTATGCGCCATGTTCATTCGCTGTGATACAACAACCCAATCGTGCTGAGAAAGCCGTATCTTGCGAACATTAGATTTTATATAGTTTATAGTTATCCAATTTTTATATATAAAATTGAATATAATTTATCAAAACATATCATATCTCTCTGCAAAACCTCTGTGTGATAATACACTGTCGTGTCTACGCTCGCTGTCCCGGGAGGCTGTCAGAACTGAGGGCACAAAGCCTGTCAGCCGTGCAGACAGTGCCTACAGTGCCTACAGTACCTAGGTATACGCTAGCTGGGGTGCGGTCCATCGCGTGAACAGATGGTATGTTTGGTCGAGCGTCACGGTCAATGCTCTTAACATGATTTGTGAACCTCAGTCGAACAGGTGGCGAAAGTGTTCTCAGCGGCCACTCACCAGCGGGTCTGGGACCATTTCACTAAACCTCAAAGAAAAAACATTGAAACATGGCAAAAAATGACACAGGTGTGTACATAACTATGAGTAACCTCAAAGCTACAACAAATTACGCTTTCTGATACAAATCACAGATTTTTTTGTTCCCAACTATGTTATTTTGTTTATGAAACAACAAATTCTTCTATTATTGATTTTATTATTTGTTAGTATATTTAGGCTAGTAAGCATGCATTTACTATTGGCATGAATCCCGTATCTTATATTCAATAACATTGAAAATACTTCATTCTACAATGTTTCATATTAATATTTTAAGGTTTAAAACCTACTGTACTAGACTTCTATTCTCCTAGAGTCTGCATATTTTAAGTTTTTATTCAAAACTGATTTTTTTAAGAAATTTATAAAGTGTAATCGATGAAACTATGTTTTAGGTTAAATTTATAACCTCAAATCAATGCATAAATAAAAGTGAAACACTTGCTTGATAATGTCCTAAAAAGTAAGACGACTAACCTTTTAATTACTTTAATAGATTTGACATAATTAAAGCCAAGTATAATATTTATAATCAATAATTCTTTAAACACTATTATGTATTGGAATTATAATTTACAATCTACCCTACTTTTGGTAACTGGTAAGTTAGCTTAACATAGTAAGTATGAATGCCATAATAGAAGCTGTTTATTCGGGTGGTGCAGAAGTCATCAAATGCAGGTAACAACGGACAAATTTAAGTGTTAAGAGGTATTATAAAAAATCTAGTTTTTAAGCCCTAAAGTATGAAGACCATAGATTATATTTCTTTAATTTATTCTTAATTGTTACTGATAAATATTTAGAATTGTGTTAAATGTAATTTTAAAAGTATCAAATGATGCTTGGTAGAATTATGAATTATGTTACACAAATATTTTTTAACCATTTTAGGAGTTTAATAATTTGAAAGAAGAATTCAATGAGAAATTCCAGACTGAAGAGATGGAGTACAACGGAATGTGCTATAATAGGATCACAGATAATAATAGTGAGGAAATTCAAGAGTTAAAGGTAATATTTATTCATAGACCTGTTTTATTAAATATCAACGTTAATTTATTAAAACTTTTAATACTTAACCTGCTATTAAATTGTCCTAATCATGTTTTTATTCGTGTTTCAGAGAGAAAATGAAAGTCTTCAATTCCAATTAGAAGCATATAAAAATGAAGTTGATGTTATAAAGATGGATGCTCAAAAGGAAATGGAGAAGTTCAAGGCCCAGTACATAGCGCGACAAGCGTTGCAGAATGCTATGGACATCGGTGATGTATGTTATAATTACAGTTATACAATCACTTTCATTACTTATTTTTTTTATTTACTACCTGTTAGCAATTGCAAATGTCAAAATTAAAGTTACCATAATAACTTGTACCATAATAGCTTGTAGTTTATGGTATGCTCCGTTTCCCACATGAAGGTGTTTTCGAATTATTTACTCTCTGAGTTTAATAGTGTGAAAATATATAACCTAAAGCGTGTCGTAAGTGTAGGGTTTTATAATAAAAAGAGAATTATTCAAAAACATGCTGTGATTCCTGACATCTTATGGCTCCTTACTTGCCTCATTTTTGGGTTAAAAACTTTTTGTTTTAATTATTTCTTAGTTTTAAGAGTAACTATTTTTACAGTCAATGTAATGTTTATTTATTGTTTACTTGTTAGCAACCACCATTACCAGCTCCAATAATAAAGCCGCCGCCGCCTCCGCCGCCCTCGTTGCCGGACGACGGAGATACTAAAGTTCAT